CCTGTTGTCCCTGGATCTCAGCATTCTTGCATTCTCTCTCTCTCTCTCTTTGGAGTAGAGTCTATTTTTTCTTACCTTGACATTTCTTCTTCAGTGCTCTCTCTCATGGTCAGCTTCTAGCCTGCTATATTGCTACAGGTTTTCAAAAGTTATTTTTCTGTTGGGGGTTTTTAGTTGTTTTATGGTTGGAAAACTTAATCTGTGCTGCTGTTCTGGAGGTAAGGTAATGCTGTGAGTTTCCTGTCTTGTTTTGTGGTCAATTTCTCTGAGTGTGCCGTGTGTGCTTGGAAATGGCCTATGTGGTATGCTTGAGGGTTCTAAAGTCATATGTACACATGTATAGGAATATAGTTTGGTCTTACTACTAGACATCCCTTCATCTTTGCTTTTTTCTTTCTTTATCTTCTTCATTTGTGTCTTAGAGCAGAAAGTTTTCTCTATAAGAGTCAGTTTTTCTACTTGTACATATGTTGTAGTTGCTGCTCCAGACTTAAGAGTACATTCTTAGATGGGTGTCTGTTGATAATCATTCTGATTGTTTTATCAGTATATGTGTCTTGGAAAGGATTCCTTTCTGATGTTACTTGGCTCCTTCAGCTTCCTTTGGTTTGTATTTGTTATTCCTTTGTCTCCGCCCTTCTCTTTCTTTCATGTGTGTGTTTGATAACTACCATTTAAAAAATCATATATGAAAGTCCATGTCTTTTTATTGGTGCGTTTTAAATACCTTTTAGTGCATGTATTGCTTTTTTGTTCAGTTGGCATTTCGGCAATCTGTTCCCTTACACTTTAACTAAATGTTTTTTTGCCTTCTTTCTCTTCTTCATATTTCTAACTGTTGGATAAATGTGAACTTGCCTGCTATACATTTTATCTTTTAGTTTCTTTTCTATTTTTGTTGTTGTTTGTTTTGTTTTTTGTTTTTTGAGATAGGGTCTCACGATGTAGCCCTGGCTGTCTGGAAACTCATTACATAAACCAGGCTGGCCTCAAACTCAGAGAGATCCACCTGCCTCTGCCTCCTGACTGCTAGGAATAAAGGCACGTGTCACCACTGCCTGGAAATTTTTTTTCAGTTTTAAAAATTGTGTGTGTATAGTTGTTTTATCTGTTGTATGTTTGTGCACCCCATGCGTGCAGTGCTTATGGAGGCCAGAAGAGGGCATCAGGTCCTCTGGAAATAGTTACAAACTTTTGTGAGCTGCCATGTGGGTGCTAGGGATCAAACCCAGGTCCTCTGGAAGAGTAGCCATTGCTCCTAACCAATAGCCATCTACCTGCCCTTATCTTTTAAGAGTGAGCTCAGGCGGTGGGAGAGTCACACGCTTGTGCCTCCGCATGCAATGGAGGCAGGGGGATCAACTTTTTTGAGTCATTTCTCCTTCCAGCTTGCTTTGGGGCAGTCTCCTTTACTGTTACTGCCACCCACCATGCTGTGTATTCCAGGCTAGGTGGCCTGTGCGTTCTGACCAATTCTCCTGTCTCTACCTCCTGTCCGCTCTGGGCTTGCCTTACAGATGCATGTGTCTGCGTTCAGCTTTTTATGTGGGATCTGGGTCCGAACTCAGGTCTTCAGGGTTTTGTGACAAGTGTTTTTACTAGGTGAGCCATCCTCCCAGGCTGCATTTCCTACTGGGGGTGTCCCTAACTCATCAACACCCTTTCCTTAGTCTTCCCACTTAACTCATCCACCACCATTCTGTTTGTTCCTTCCTTCCCTTCTTACCTTGATAATCAAATTCAATTCTTTACTTTAGAATTACCCTGAATATTTTCTGTGTTGTGGGCCTCTTAGAAAGTTATGATAGTGCACTTTTACTTCAACATATAACATAGAACTTTTGCATTTATTTGCCCGTTTTCTCACTGCAGTGTTTCCTCCCAGGGAGTTTTGAATAAAGGAATTCATGTGGTAGAAAACTTTTCAGAACTTGGGCAGTTGGACAGAAGTTTCTTCTTCTGATACTGAAGTACTATGCTGCTTGTTAAGCGTATCTTCCGAGGTTTTCCCTTACCATGTTGGAAATATTAATTCATTGTCCCCTAGACTGGTGTATCTAAGAAGACGTTGGTTGCAGTGGGCTCCTCACTCCTTAGGAGGCATGTTCTCACTGGGAGCTTTTAATAGCCTTGTTTTCTTTTGACTTTGTTTCTGATTTTTGCTTTAGTATTTATAACTTTTATGACAATTATGAGTGGGTGTGTGTTCTCCCCAGCTGCATGTTTGGGATACCAGGTGGTTGTTTCTGTGCTCTTTAATAATGCATAGTTCTCAGCCATTGTTTCTAAAGATGCCTTTCAGCTCTTATTCTCCTGCAGGGGCTCCTGTTGAGCAGGTTGTGGTCCTTGACATGTGTCCCTGTCACCCTCACTTTGCTCTTACTAATTTTCCTTGAATTTTCTATTTCTTTGACCTGATCTTTTAGATCACCAGTTTGTTTTGAATCATATTTGTCATACTAGCTAACTCACCTGTTAAAGCACAGATACAGATCAGAGGAACGCTCTGTGAGTTTCTGAAGCTTTTGTCTGTAGGATAGGTATATCTGTGCCAGTTTATGGACTTGCTTTTGACAGTTTGGGACCTAATCCACGTGATGCACTTGGAGCAATACTGTTTATAGTAAGCAGGGGTTGGTTTTCTCTTCATATTTTTTTTTCATGCCAGCACTTTGCCCGGACCTTTATGACTAAATGCCCTTGCTCATGTTACTAGTAAAAACAAAAACAAAACAAAACAAAAAACAACCCACTGCTCTTTTAGGGCTACTTATATTTTTTGGAACATCTGTCATGTTGGCGTTCTTAGTTTCCTGTCTGTTGCCTGTGCTTTCTCTCACTGTCACAGGCAGTCCAACCTGTTGTCTTTGTTTGAGTGGCCCTAGTCTCCAGATGTCAAATTATTGTTTTCTTTGAATGCATATTTTCTGGGGGTGGGTGGTTGTCAGCTTCCTTGTGTGTCAGTGTTTATAAGTTAGTGAAAGGGTTGCTGTACAGCTTAATGGTTGAATGGTGTGCTGCTCAAAAGCCCTGGAGTTAGTCCCCATACACATACACCATGTATATACATGCACACACACACACACACACACACACACACACACACACACACACACACATATATATATGGGATATATATATATATATCCCATAAGGATTTGATAGGGAAAGGGAAAGACTGGTTTTTGGTAGGGCTTAGGGAAGATAGGCAGGGAGAGCTCTGGCCTGCTATCCTCTGGGCTTTCCCTACCATACTGGGCACACTGCCTTGCAGTGCCTCTCTCTGCATCTTGCGTCCAGGCCTGTGTTTTCTAGGCTTTGCTTTCCTCAGTTTTGATACCTCACTGTGGTTGTGGGTGTGAGGAGCTGAGAAACCTGCTAGATGGAAAGGAGGTGGCCAGTGACCTGCCCATACCAACACTGCCTGGTTCCTGCCCTCCACTGTGTGCATAATACCACCTGCTGCTAAATCTTTGGTTCCATGGCCCTCCTGCTCTTTCTGTATAGCTTTTGCTGCCAGTAGAGCCCAACTCCCCTGAAGGAATGGTAGAAAAAGCTGCATAGTGCCATCTGCCGTAGCCCTGCCTGAATTCTCTTGGGGACCTAGGCTTTCTTGCTCTCTGCATGTATCTGCCTGCACACCTATTCCAACAGGGCTTCTTGCCAGCTCCATGTCTGCTTCTTGAGGCCATATTTCTTTCCCTCTCAATTTTATAGAATCTGTGTTAGGAGAGGAACCTAATTGTCCTTGTCAATTCTCTCTTTGTCTTTCTTCCTCCTTCCTTCCTTCCTTCCTTCCTTCCTTCCTTCCTTCCTTCCTTCCTTCCTTCCTTCCTTTCTTTCTTTCTTTCTTTCTTTCTTTCTACTCACATTGTTCCTATAATGAAATCTACATATATGGCTTCTTTTTACATATGTATGCATGGTACTCATATATCGTACATGTGTATGAGGGTACACATGCTCATGCAGATGGAGACCTGAGGTTACTGTCAGGTGCCTTCCTTGATCACTCTCTGCCTTGTGTATTGAGGCATAGTCTCACACTTGAACCCACAGCTCAGCCATTCAGCTGGTCTGGCTAGCCAGGTTGCTCTGCCCTCCCCTGTGCTGGGAGTATAGGTAGACTGCATGTCTACCTGGCTTTTATTATTATATTTGTTCATTCATTCATTGAGACACAGAGAATGTCTATGTTTATATGGGGGTTTGTGCATGCTGCTGTATATTATAGAGGTTAGAGGACAATTTTGGTGAGCTAGTTCTGGCTACCACTTGGGTCTTAGGGACCAAACTCAGGTTGTCAGTCATGGCTACAAGCGCCATTATTTGCTAAGCCATCTCTCTGGCATCACCCAACTTTTGTCCTGCAGGTCTTGGGGGTTCTGAACTCCAGTCCCCCTCTCACAGATGTGGCAAGCACTTTACCTATGGAGCATCTCCCTACCTGTCAGGATGCTTTTTTTTTTTTTTAAATGAAAAAACTCAATCACGTTTTTTAGGTAGCTATGCAGCTTGGTTCATCTTTGTTCCACACTACAGGATTAAGTGAATGAAATAAACTTTCAGAATAAGAAATTTGTGTTTGAAAGTCAGCTTGTATTCTCTCACTTTGAATCAACAGTCTAATAAGGCTTCCTGTAGTGTGGGAGTACTGACATTGTGCCAGCCAGTTATCGCTTTGCTAGGAAATTCCTATCTCCTTGTCATTGTTTTGTTTGTGTTTTTTAAATGAGACTTGTTCTATTAAACTGTTAGTTCATTCGAAGCCAGATTGGACAGATGTTAGATGAGGACCCTGTGTCTCATGTGTGATAGGACATGGAACATTGTAGATAAGAGCTGTGGGAAAAAGCTCACAGTAAGTTCATGATATAAAGCAAATGTTTTTGTCAGAAAGTAAGTCTTAGGTTCCTCCAGAGGCAGGAGAAACCCCTTGGGGCTTTTGTCTTTTTTTCCACTTATGCTTCTTCTGATGTGTGTTTCTGTCCATGGTGAAGATGAACAGTAGTCAAAAGGGACTCCTGCCAGAGCCAAATCCTGTCCAGATTATGAAAAGTCTGAACAATCCTGCCATGTTACAAGTTCTTCTGCAGCCCCAGCTGTGCGGACGAGCAGTTAAGCCAGGTGAGTGCCACACATCATCCTTCTTGAGCCCCCATGTTGGCATGAAGTACTCACGCTGCATGCACTGTACGCAAAATGTAAGAAGCACACTACAGGTTAAAGCGCACTCACGCTTGTCTGACTCTCTTCTAAGAACTATTAATGATCATAAATTGGTTATTTGAAATGGTACTATGTCTTGGCTGTTTTTTAGGTACAATCTGCTTTTGTGTTTCCGTTTTCTGTACCATTAGCAAATGTTAAATATTAAACCTTCAGTTAAACTTTGTTGCGGTGGACCTGGTAATAATGGCACACCGCTCACTACTCTGTTGCCTGAGTGAACCAAGAGCATGGAGCATTTCTTTTTAGTCATTTTAGTGGACTTACCTTGTAAAATATGCTGATTTGTTTCTTTTGTGTTCATCTTTCTCTGTTGTAGAGAACAAAGTAGTTTCCCTTTGAGCTAGATGACAAAAGCATCATCCTCTAATTATCTAGATCTGTATATTGTCACTGTACTTTGACTATCAAGCTATTCGGTATTCTTTTTCTGGTATTTCCTCTGAAACAAACAACTTTCCGTACACAGGATTTCTGTGTTAGCATTATGAGGAAATGCTGGGGTCTAGAGTAAATATATTTAGTGTAAGCATACTCAATTTGTTTATTCCAGTTCAGTCCCAACTGACCTGATGCCAGCTTCCACACTAAGCAACATAGACCCTCAGACTAAGGGCACTGCCTCTGTGTGGCTGTCCCACTTAAGTCCCTGACTACAAGTTAAAGGTTCTCTAGGCTACCGGAACGTCTGACTAACGAGCTATACAAATTTGGGAGTAGCTAAGACCCTTCAGTTTGGTATTCTTCTAGAATATCTTGTAGAATTCTGGACAGCTCCATATTTATGATCATAATTTTTCCAGGAAGGACCTAGCAGGAGTAGGCAAATGAAGGCACTTAGTACACGGGGCTCTCTGTGTAGCAGGTCATGACACTTTCCAGCATGTTATTTGTTTAATATTGTTGTTGACGATAAAGTATTATGATTGCCCTTTGCTTTCCTTAATCACCTACCCCATTCCTCCCACCCACCCCCATCCCTGTCACACACACCCCATCCCTGTCACACACACACACACACACACACACACACACACCCCCATCCCTGTCACACACATCCATCCCTGTCACACACACATCCCATCCCTGTCACACACACACACACACACACACACACACCCCCATCCCTGTCACACACATCCATCCCTGTCACACACACATCCCATCCCTGTCACACACACACACACACACACACACACACCCCCATCCCTGTCACACACATCCATCCCTGTCACACACACATCCCATCCCTGTCACACACACACACACACACACACACACACCCCCATCCCTGTCACACACATCCATCCCTGTCACACACACATCCCATCCCTGTCACACACACACACACACACACACACACACCCCCATCCCTGTCACACACATCCATCCCTGTCACACACACATCCCATCCCTGTCACACACACACACACACACACACACACACCCCCATCCCTGTCACACACATCCATCCCTGTCACACACACATCCCATCCCTGTCACACACACACACACACACACACACACACCCCCATCCCTGTCACACACATCCATCCCTGTCACACACACATCCCATCCCTGTCACACACACACACACACACACACACACACCCCCATCCCTGTCACACACATCCATCCCTGTCACACACACATCCCATCCCTGTCACACACACATCCCATCCCTGTCACACAAACATCCCATCCCTGTCACACACACCCCATCCCTGTCACACACACCCCATCCCTGTCACACACACATCCATCCCTGTCACACACATCCCATCCCTGTCACACACACCCCATCCCTGTCACACACACCCCATCCCTGTCACACACACATCCATCCCTGTCACACACATCCCATCCCTGTCACACACACACCATCCCTGTCACACACACCCATCCCTGTCACACACACATCCCATCCCTGTCACACACACATCCCATTCCTGTCACACACACCATCCATCCCTGTCACACACACACCCCATCCCTGTCACACACATCCCATCCCTGTCACACACCATCCATCCCTGTCATACACACATCCATCCCTGTCACACACACATCCATCCCTGTCACACACACACCCCATCCCTGTCACACACACATCCATCCCTGTCACACACATCCCATCCCTGACACACACACACACACACACACACACACACACACATCCCATCTGTACCAGTCCTTTTCTCACACTCATGACTTTTGGTTTTGCTTTATGACCCATTTAGTTTAATGGGGCCACTCATGAGACCATTGGATTGAGACTCTCCATTGGAGCCTGGAGGAGTAACCAGTGACCAGTAACCAGTAACCAGTAACCAGCTTAAGCCAACAAATCTCCTTCCTGAATTGATCAGTAGCAAACAGTTCTTCAGCTAGGGGTTGGGAGGGCCTCCTGAGCCCATCTTCTATGACTGATGGTTAGTGGTCATTCTTGTGCCGACCCAGTGCAGGCATCTATGGCTGCTATGAGACTGATTGCAATGACTGTGTCTTAGCCAGGAGATGGACTTCACAGCCCCTTTCTCTGTCTTCTGGCTCACACATTCTTTCTCCTTCTTTCCCCACAGTGTTCCCTTACCTTAGGGGGAATGGTATAAATGTCTTCTTTAGGGCTGAGCTTTGGTCAGTTACTTTTCTCTATACCTTGTGGGCCGTGAGTCTCTGCATTGCATTCACCACTATTCACTTGAAGGAGAGGTTTCTCTTATGAAAGCCGAGAGCAGCATTTTCCTGTGGCTACAAACATAAATATTTAGAGAGTAGCTTGACACTATCTATGCCAGTTTGCTAAAACAAAACAATTAAAAAAAAATACTAGTACTCAGTTCCCACTCTAGGGCTCATTGTCTCCCTGGCTGTGCATTTTTGACCAAGTGTATAGAATCAGGCATGGATTCTCTCCCATGAATCAAATCTCAGATTTAATCAGAAAACTGTTGGCTACCCCATAACAGGAGTGCTGCTGTTGTGCAAGACCTGTGTTGCCTTCCAGGTTGGTCTTGTAGCTCACAGAAGTTACATCTGGGCAAGACTATTGATTCCTTCTCTCCCCCAGCAGCCTGCATGGCTCCTTTCAGAACTATGAAAACCAGCAGCAGAGACAAAGCTTCGGCTCAGTTCTAGCTTGGCTTTCTTATGTCATGTATCCAGGGTGTGTGGTGTATACAGTTTGCATTCCATTGTTAGGATAAACACCATGACCAAAAGCAACTTGGGGAGGAAAGGTTTGACAGGACCCTCCCACAGTTGATCATTGAGGGAAGTGAGGGCAGGGGCGGAGGCAGGGACCATGGAGGAGCATAGGCAGGGGCCACAGAGTGACCACAGAGGAACACAGGCAGGGGCCACGGAGGGGCCACAGAGGGACCATTGAGAAATTCAGGCAGGGGCCACGGAGGGACCACAGATAAGCACAGTCAGGGGCTATAGAGAAACGTGCCTACTGGTTGACTCCTCACCTCCTCCTCAGCTCACTTCTTCATAAAATCCAGGACCATCTGCCCAGAGATGGCACTGCCCACGCTAGGCTGGGCCCTCCCACATCAGTCATCAATCAAGAAAATGTTGAACGAGTTTGCCAACCGGACAATCTAATGGAAGCATGTTCTCAGTTGAAAGAATCTCTCCCAGATGATTCCAATTTGTGTCAAGTTGACAAAAACAACAACAAAAAATGCTAACTAGCACAAGGAGGTACCTCAGCCTTGGCATTCAAGGTTTTGATTAATAATTCAACAGCTTCTGGGAGCATCTTTTTCCAGCCATACAGGAACTTTTTAGGAATTGGAACTTTTGTGGCAGTTTTCACTGTATGGGAAACACACACACACACGCACGCACGCACGCACACACACCTACCTGCCCTAATGTATTACCTCTAGATTTTCTGGATTGTCCTAAAACATGGTGTTTACAGACATGACAACCTCCTGTTGGTTGGTTATTGATTGGACAGTGCAGTAGTCTTCGTTCCTATTACCACAGCATTTCTCCCGACGCAGTTCAGGATTGTGCTAGGGTTAAGGACATGTGCTGTGCCAGCGGGTCTTTTAGAAGAGTGTTGCCTACACCTTTGGCTTTGTGCGCATCTTTGGTAACTCTGCCCACTGTTATTTCTGTCCCTTCAACACTACATATTTCCACTCCACTTTTCTGTTTGGATTGGTTTGTGGTCATAGAGGAATGTGGTTTTGTTTTGCTCTTTAGATTTGATTTGACTTTTTCGTTTAAAAAGTATTTTTATAGGGGATGAGTATGTGTACATAAATGCAGATCCCCTGAAGCTGGAGTTACAGGCAGCTATGAGCTACCTGATGTGGGTGCAGGGAATCAAATTCTGGTCCTCTGCAAGAGCTGTGTGTCCTGCACCATCGAGCCATCTCTCCAGTCCCAGGAATATGCTTTTTAAATGTGTAATGTTACTGTCTCTATTTTAAGATGTTTTACTTTTTACACGGATGGAGACATTTTTCTTGTGCCTGGCTTTGTCTTTGTTTGGGCGGGTCAGGAAGAAGATTAAGTCTCCACTTCAGTGAGCACAGGCCAAGCTAGAGGAGGCATGCCAATTGTACTTTTGTATTTTCTTAGACAGTGGGTGGGTGCTGGGGAGTGAAGCCAAGTCTGCACCCCCCAGCCTCATTAGCAGACCTTAGGTCCTTTCCAGATTGAGGTAAAATTGCAATGAGAATTTGTTTTTATTTACACTTACACTTTTATGACCTTGGATAAATGACTGGTTGTAGATTTGAGCTATGAGGCAAGTGTACATGAAAGTTATAGACGACAGTTTGCTCAGCACCCTGACTCACTGTTGTGTATGGTACTTTTTAATTTGAGCCTTTCTGTAGAGTGGGTAGGTATATGTTAACTTGTTGTGTTGCTGT